ATGAACTTCGATGGTTGATCACGGGGACATTTGTAGCTCAGTCGCGTAGTGGAGGCTAGGATTCAATTTCAGGCCTTGCTGTGTCTAGAAATTCCCTCTGCAGACCGACAGCTTTGATTAAGATTCCTAGGAGCAACACAACACGGTTAAATCGTGTAGCATCTGCAACATGAGTGGCTATAGGATCCTCATCTGCATCATTTTTCCTCTTTCCAGCGAAAACGCAAAAGTTCCACCTCGTCATCCTCCTCCTCCGACTCCTCGTCGTCTAAACGGCGGCGGGATGATGCCAAGGGACCCACGCGTAAGCCTTTTGATCGGGACCGCGACCTCTTGGCCCACCGGATCGGTTTCACTGAGAAGCGAGCTCTCATCGAACGATCTAAACAGTTCTCCACCAAGTTTTCACACGGCAGCCAAAAATTCCTCTAACCGTCCTCCATCCTCGGCTTCCCTCGCCGGGTATTGGCCAGTACTCTGAATACTCTATCCCCTCTTAATCCCACTTCCCTCACCCCCCCCCGTCCAATCTACGCCCATCCCCGCTCCATCTTTTTTCCACCTGATTGTATGTATGTAAATTACCTTTGTTGTACCTGTCGCACAATTATTCAATACCTCATGACATGTTCTGCCCGCTTCGTTTGACTATCCTGCATCTACCTGGACCTTGCTGCGCTTCTAATAATTTTGAACATGAAAGTAAAACTCAGTCCTGCCCCGAAAATATTTCAAGTCGAATCGCAAGCTGTGGGGCGCATATTCTTACCTAGAAGATTTAGACCGAACACCACCTAGTATCCCACAAGGTCACCCATTCTCTGTGCGTGTGCGAACTAACGAGGGAAACAAGAACTTGGGTGGTGCTCCGTGATAGTTGGGCCGTCGGTTTGTATTTACTTGTAATTGTTGCGGCCGCCATTATGACTGATCTAGCCGGCTTTGATGATATGCCGGACGGTATTTCTCCAAGCGCGACGATCCGTGGCAGCAGAGATAGACAGTTAGAGCCATTCTATTCGCCAGCGTCGGAGACCGAAGGCCCCAGACCCACTTCCATGTCCTGACGGACTGAGTCAAGCCAGGTTTTGAGACGTCCTTCTTGGATGGTCTGGGATATCCTTGCTATGTTGTCGCAGCGAGTGCGGACAGCCCCCTTTGAGACGAAGTCTGTGTATTTCAACCAAAGGATGGTTCTCAAGCAGTGGTAGTCAAATATCCTAAGTTTCCGTTCATTTCCCACGCGTATAGCCCAGCATTCGCATCTATATAGCAGAACAGATGCACGGTACACCCGGAGATTTGTGGTACTAGAAATATCGCGTGGGGTCCATAGGCAATTTCGAAGACTAGAGAAAAGTTGTAGAATTGCGTTAATTCTGGAGACAATTTCATCTTTTTATAACAA